AATCCTACCCTTCCTACCATTTAGTAATTTAGTCTATCCCTCAAGCGATTGTATGGTTTCTGTAATAGGTTGCCTTCAAGTTGCGTTTTTGGAATTCATATCTCACAATGCGACTTCGTGTTAAGAACTCTTTGTCGTTCCTAGTTGACAGTCTCTGAATGCTCAATAGGAATCACCAGGAACTCTAACTTTTTGACTCGCTCTTCGTGCTCCTGCGGATGTTGGACTATCGGAGCCAAAGTATGGCGAAACATTATGAATATCAATTGTAAACATCTGGAATCCAAGATTGTGGCCAGACTCCAAGATTCCAAGAAAGAGGCCCAGTGAATCTTGGAGCCTTAGATTCCAAACATTGGGGCTGAATGTTTGCTCATATTTCGCCATCTGGACGTCCCGGACTTAACATTGATCAGCCATATTTGTCTAATTCTGAATATTTTGCATCCAAGACTCCAAGATTGAAAAAGCCAACCCCAGGGAACCTTGGAACCTTGAGCTCCAAACAATTGAGTCAATTATGAAAGTATGATTTCATGATCGTGTATTTCGATGATGGGGTATACAGACAATAAACGAGAGAGTTAGGGGGAGAGTGCCATATGTGTTCTAGATGTACATACCACATACACCTGCACACAGATATGACACACATACGTGTACACAGGCGTGTTAACGCAACGCGAGCATGTAGGTTTGCATACACACGTCATACACACATATTTGCAGATGTGCTGCCCCCATGGATCCACTGCTTTTGTGTGTTTTCACATGTTTCCTCAATGTTTTATGCGTGTTCGTGTGTTTTGTTGCAGAAATTGCAGAAGCAGATTGCCCACATGTGACTTGGGAGAATGATAGTGGTACAGAAAAAACTTGAAGTTTTCAAGCATGGGCGTGGGTACTATACGTGTACACTTTTGCATGTCCTGATGTTCCTTTCCATGGCAGCCATGTCATAGAGCCAGGGCTTTGAAGCTTCGAACATACGAATGGTTCCCAACGCTGTCCCTAACCTGAACCTTGATTGCCGCTAGCAGTGCTCAGGCCCTGCGAATCTGTGGGCGAAGAAAGCAAATCAGGTTTATTCGATAAGCCAATGTAATGTCATGGCAACTCCCACGCGTCCTCCCTCCTCTCCATACATCCCTCACGACATCCCAGAAGCTGGCAGGAACAGGACAATGCACCTGCTTGGAGCCCTTCAACGGCACTGGCTGTGAAGAGGGGCTGCTAGGCAGCACATTATGCGGATGTACCGGAGTACGAATTCTTCCCTGAAATCGGCTTCCCCCTGCAAAAGGAATCGAGTCCGGCATATGCAAATCCGCACTTGTCAGGTCATGCCCACCAGGACATCGACTTGAGCAGAGCACAGGGGCTTCCGTGGTGAGCGACAAGTACCCAGGCTTCTTCACCGGTAGCTTTGGGATCCTAACAGCTGAGGCGTTAGCTAGATGGCCATAACACACGATCCAAGATCCTGCAAGGTCGATATAGCTTGCATACTGCAAGCAGGTAATGTAGAAGTTCTTGCAATCATGGTCTCCATTTTGTGAGGGTGCTCGTCTGATTTCGTGCGCGTGTACACAATTTGGCTCCTGTTTGTCCTCAGCTCCTGTAAAGTGGATATTGCATGTGGCCCAAGTGTGGTCGGTTGTCATCTGGACATGAGGACACTTATCTGCAGTGAATTCTCCGCTGTAGCAGTGGCAGTGGTCAATCGTACCCCCCCGCCCTCCAAGTCCCTCCGTATTTCACCCCGCTCCCAACCTCTTACCATCCGCCATCTCAGTGACCCATGCCAGGCTACAATCCTGTTCGGGCCATGGCCAGAAGTTGGGGAAGGCAGCCATTGCTGAGAAGCAAAACACAAGAAGCCTCATTGGTGGGAGAGTGGGCAGCAAAGGGTGGGAAGTGGAGTTGAGAATGGGAAGTGGGAAGCAGGAGGCGGATGGCAGAGGTGAGGCTGGGCCGAGCAACCGAACTGGAAGAGCAAAAAAGGTGACCTCAAGCGTTCAGCCCAAGCCCAACGCGGAGCCAAAAACCATAGACTTCTAGAGCCCAAACCTCAATCCCATCTTGGTTCTGACGGGGATGGCTTCTAGCAGTCCTCGCACTTGTACAACTACCAGTTACCACCACCGCCGCCACCAGCACCAGCACCAGCACCAGCACCAGCACCTGCACCTGCACCAGCACCGGCACCGGCACCGGCACCGGCACCGGCACCGGCACCGGCACCAGGAAGGGGTCAGGATAGATCGAACTTAGTCGAAAAAATACGAAATTACAGTCATGCGGGGTCAGAGGGTTTTGAGGCTCTCAGCGAGTTTCAAAATGGTTTTAGTGTGGGGAGACTCACTCTTGTACAACCTACCAGCAAGGTACCCGGTCTTCCAGACCTGTGTACCCTGTGGAGAAGGCGCGGCAGCTTTTGCTCAAGCAAGCTTTGGCAGCGGGCTTGTGGATTTTTTTCAGAAGGTCATGTTATCAGAGGGAGATTTGATACCTAGGTTCTGCCTGCAGAATGCATGCGTGTTCCGAGCATTTTTAGGGGGGCTTGGGGCTTTTTAGTGCGTGCTTAGACCTGGACTAGTGACTAGAATCCGATCAAAAAGAATTATGAGTTGATGCTTTTGCTTTCCTGGAGGCTACGTGGCTGCCTTTGGGTCAGCGGGGTGCACGGGCTGCGGAGCTGGCACCGTACCAAACGAAGACAACAGCTCTTGTGTGGCGTGCGCGGATGGGATGTATGCAATGGCCTTGGCCGCGCAGTTGCCAGGGTCATGCCTAAAGCACCGCTTTGACGTCCGAGGTCTTCTTGTCCTGTTCTCAAGGGTTTGTGTGATTCTTCTGCCCGTCGCCGCCGCAACCAAGGTGCTCTCCTTGTTCTCCTGGCTTTGTCCCGGATCCCGCCGCTTCAAGGAGCAGATGCATGAAGTGTACCGGCCAGAAATATGCGTTATCAGGAGACGAGACGTGCCAGAGTTGCTCATTTCCATACATGGTCCGCAATGAAGACAACTGGTGCACGTTGCTTTGGTTTGTGCTCTGCGTGCTCGCATTCGTCCTTGCAGTGCTTTTGTTTGTCGCAATCTTCGGGCGCCTCCGACTATCCTGCCTCAAAAGGCGAATCACGGCCATGGTCGAGGGGAAGAATTGGCAGGAGCTCTATGCTGCCAAAACGAGTGTGAGGGAATATGGCATGTGGAAGAACACGGCCAAGGGCATCCTGGCCACGAGCAGGGCCAAGGTCAAGGCCGAGTCTTGCGCGCTGGGGATCTCACTGCAGTACGCCTTTGAAGAGCTCGAGCAGGTGACTGGGCCGGGTCATCCCGGGTCTCTCATGCCCAAGTCAATGTTCAATGTTCTTCTCCCAGCGGTTGGAGCGCGTCCAATTTCTGTGTTTTCAGCTTCACCTCAGCCTTGTGGTGGTCATGGTGGTGATTTTGATGGTGGCGGCAGCGGCGGTGGTGGTCTTCATTGTTGTCCTTGCAACCCACTTTGGAACTGCTTCTTGCTTCCCCTCAGTCATTTACGTCAAATTTGCGTGTCTGCCTTGCTTTTCAGGATACTGTACGGCATGTCTCCAGCAGGCCTTGAGTGGTACTAGGTCAGGTTGAAGCTGGGAATCCGGGTTGGGGTTGGGGCCTGGAGACCACAGCCATTACCAGCAGAAAAAAGCAGATAACTGCATTGGACATGCTACATGTCATGTTCATAACTTCCTACGAGATGACTATGGTCATGCAGAGTTGAGACAGCATTCCACTTTGCACACAACAAGCTGCCAACATGCGGGAGAAGGCGCTTGTGGTCAATGGGCTGTCCATTTGCCAGCACGTCTAGAAGACTTCAAAGTCAAGCTCTACAGCTGACGCAGATAAAACAAGGATGAGCTGGACAGTAACCAATGAGTTGTGTTCACCAAAGCAAGTTGCACCCTTGAGTGAACAGCTCCTGGACTCTCCCGTCATTACCTCACGGTGCACTTGGAGAAACCCTTGGACAGTTGCCATCCAAAAGCATACTCAGAGATGGCATCGGGTGCTCCACCTGAATTCTATGATGCTTTTGTCAATTGTTCTCGCTGGCAGTTGGCTCGGTGGTTTCTGGAGCCAGGAGTGTTGGAATCCTCTAGCACTTGGTGCAGGTGCAGAAACTGATGCCAAACGTGTGGAGCTGTACCTGTATAGCCGCAACACGTACAAAATGACAAGTACGTGACACACAAGACACAACATACACAGTACAATTGACCAAGCATCGTCCGGCAGCGATACTAGATATTGCACAACAGAGATCCCAAACTGGCTGCAACACAGGCTTGCAATAGGAGGACCGAGCAGACTGCACAAAAAAAGGGGTTTTGATCCACAGCCCAATGGTCCCATCACAGGCCTCAGTGTTGACTCTCCGTTGTTGAGGCTTCCATTGTTCTTTGTTTGGCTTTTGCCGCTTTTAGTTGTTGAGATGTGCGATTCCCATGTCATAGATGCCGTAACGAGATTCGAGCCTCGAAATCCGTTGGGATTCAGAGAACAGGTCTACCAGGAGAAGGCGCAGCAAGCCGAGTGGCGGTGGAATGGTTGGCCATCCACGCGCAGTGGCTACCTGGTCTATGCCCGCAACAGCGAGGTCTCTGCCAATGATGCCATCACTGCTTGGACAAGAATGTCGACGTGCGATCGCCCCGAAAAACCAAACTTCCATCAGGTAGGGTACCTCCCGGTGTGTGAATACCTAGCCATAAAGCTTGAATTCGTAGTTTCCTGTCCCTGCCAGGTGGCAAGCGTTCTGACGTCGGGCCTTTCGCCCTGGGCAAGGACCAGTGCTGCCCACGGGATGGCCGTGCTGATTGCAGCGTGGTGGACGCACTGCGATCGCAGGGGCAGAGCGGGAGGGCTACGTGGTTTATGTCTTGGGCGTGGTCGTACCAGTTCGCGACGGTGATCAAAGCCTTGAAAAGATGGTGGGCCAAACACCAGATTGTGTCGGGTGATGGCTGCAGTGCCAGCAGCATCTACATTTGGTGGTGCGTCTTCGTGAACAACCAATTCAGAATGTTAGAAGAAGGCATTACCGAAGATCCGGGTGACCTTTTCGAGGTCTTTGGCGGACGGCTGACGGACATTGGCAGAATGCTGATGTGCATGGACAAACTGAGAGATGGTGGCTGGGCCATATACCTTTGGCAAAACTTCTTTTGCGATGGTGCATGGTAAGCCAATAAGTTCGCGCTTTGTTGCTACGTTCAAATATGATCACCATCACCCTTTCTTCAACAACAACAACAACGCGGCTTTGTGAACCACCTCCTGGT